TAATTAGTTCTGAAAAAAACTATGAATTTTTTAGCCTAATAATCAACCAATATCATTTTTACCCAGTTACAGAGCCTATAAATACCCAATACAGTTGTTAAATAGATAAAAAATTATATAAAGTTAAAGACAATATTTGTTTACTTTTTGATAAAAAATTATATAATACTATTGATATTTTAGATAAAGAAGATTTTAAATTTTTTTTAATAATTTAGAAGCTAGTATTGATATAGCTATAAATTTTTTGGATAAGTAGATGAGTATATAGCTTTATTCTCCATTAATCATGTATCAATTAGATAGTAAATATGGCTACAAGTATAGAAGTAAGAGCGAATATGAGCTTCAAAATAATCTAAAAGATTTTGAAGCCTTTTGTTTTTTATATAATCATAGTTTCATAAAGAGCTTGAAACTATATTATTTCTAGTTAAGCAATCTTCAAAATCTTCATATCTTGTAAAAACAATATACTCTTTTTCATATATTGCTTTAAAAACTTCAATTTGAAATTGGTTTTTACTTTTGATTAACAAAGAGGAGATTAAAAATTTTTCTTCTTTGTTGGTCGACAATGACGATCGATTTTCATGAAATGGTTTTTCATCACCACAATCCCAAGTATCTCCAACTTCTTTTTGTTGTTTTTTGAAGAATTTTTTTAAAAGTTTCTTGATAAAATTTATTTTTAAAATTAAAATTGTAATAAATTAAATGAAATATTTTACGTATCTTTAAATATTTGTTCATGATTAAATTAAATTTATCTAAATAAAGAAATAAAATTTTATTGAAATTTCGAAGCAAATTCTTTTTTTTTCAATATACTAAAGTATCAATACAAAGTTGAATTAAAAATCTTTCAAGTAATAAATATTGATAAATAAATAAAATTAAACAAGTAATTATCAAAATATATCAATTAAAAAATATATTTTTAATATAATGTTTGATTAAATCAATGTTAAAATGAATTTCAAATATTTTTCTCAATAATAAATTCAAAAATAAATAATCCAATCATAATGAAAAAAGTAATCAATAAATTTAATAAAAAATACATTTTGTAATAAGCAAATTGTTGTTTTGTAAATAAATTTTGTAAATGTGTTGAGAATTTTTAAGTAAAAAAGAATTTTGTTTAAAAAATTTACTTCAACAACAATAAATTTCCATCATTTTTAAATTATTTTGATATGCACAATATGTAGTAATTTTTTTTAGGGCGTTATTTTATGGTGACCCGTTGCCATGGCGACCCCTATGATTGACCAATCAGATCACATAAAAAAATCATCAAAATAATAATAAAATTTTAAATTTTT